CTCATAGAGTCTGCTGATTTTAAGCAAAGATGCCACATAAATTCAATGGAAAAAGAAAAGTCAGTTCTCCAAATGGTGCTGGAACAACTATAAAAATATATAATAATATAAGAGCTGAAACAAAGTAGAAAACAAGGTAATTTCATGACCTGGAGGTAAGCAGGGAGACAGAAGAAAAATTGAAGAAAAATACTGGTAACTAAGACTTCATTAAACTGAAACAATCATGTTTATCAAAAGATACTGTTAAGAAAATGAGAAGGCAACCTACAAACTGGGGAATATATTTGCAAAGGACTTAGTTCTAAAATACCTACAATGGAATAAAAGAAAGTGTCAAGAGGAAGACAAATACTGTATGATCTCACATATATGGAATCTTTAAAAAAAAAAAAAAAAGCAGAGGGAAAATACATCCTGGACTGAAAGACTTTGTTTTTGTGGGACTTTGTTGGCAGGACGGGGAGTAGTCGAATAAGCACTGTTTAAGGAGTCGGTTCTGGTCTCCCAAGAAACCAGTGCCTTCCTGATCTGTGAAATGAAGAGCTGGGGGTTGGACAAGCTCCAAGACCCTTTAAGAGTTTTTAAATTATGTGGATCCAAGAGGACACACAACAGGACAACTAACCCAAAACATACAGACAAAAGTTACCATTAGACTTTTTTCTCTATCTCTTACTGGACTCTGAGCAAAGGAGAGAAATGACCTGGGAGAGAGTGACTTGGGCTATATCAGAGGTGAGGTCAATGCTCTGGTTGCTAAATGAGCACAATGGGGTGGGCGTCAGGGGTGGGAGAGAGAAGTGTGAAAGATTATTCCTTAAACCACTATTGCTGTGGCCAAGGGCCACCTGGACAAATCACCGTATCTTCAGTTTATCAGTTCTATAAAGGAAACTTGATGGGGGGAAAAGGAGTTCCCTCCTTGGACTTGAAGGTATTTGGCTTACATAGTGTCTCTACTGTGGTTGTACATGAGAATTATGTGGGGGAGCTTTGAAAAATACCAGGTCCAGGTCCAGCCCTGGAAAGTCTGTCTTAGTTGTGCTGGGGTAGGGCTCAGGCATCTGTCTTTTTAAATGGCTCTTTGTGACTCTTATGAGGACCATATTAAGAATCTCTGGTTACGGAAGTATAGTGTTAGAAGGGCGGGCCATATTTGCAGTGTGTGTGTGTGTGTGTGTGTGTGTGTGTGTGTGTGTGTGTGTGTGTCGGGGGGGGTGCTTCTGGGAGTAAAATTAAGTCAGTCAGAGTGTCCCATCTATTTCCTTGATTTACACAATTTAATTCTGTTCTTCAGATCCCAAACTCCTTCAGATCACAATTCTCAAACCAGAAGAACACACACATTCATTCTGCTCCGGAAAGAGTAAAGACTAAAGGGGGGAAAGCCCATTACTAAATTGGTAAGCAAATTTTCTCTACTTTGGGAGAAAAGACCTTGACCAGTTGTGGCAGGGAATTAACATCTCTTGAGACCCCTTCTATGTTGGGGGTCTTTATATGGGTATTAGGGGGCTTCATGTAGATTTTCTCAAGAGAAAGAAATGTCTAATCTTACAAAATGAACCTTTGAAATGATTCTTCCACTGGAACTAAAGAGGACAAGGCCAGCCTTGGGCAAAGTTGGACAGAGGTGGCAAAAGTTGTCTTCAGAGCTGAGCTTCTACTTTCAGCAATGCTGTTGGGTCTGTGCCCCCTTGCCCCCAGCCCCTTTCCCCCAGGCATTGTTGCAGACCTTTCTCTGCCTCTTGTGGCATTTTCCTAGTCCCAGATCTTTAATAACTGAGACTGGATGGAATAATGAGATAATCCACCCAAGTAATACTTGATTAAAGGTTACTGGTCTCACAGAAAGTAATACTTCTGTCTAGTTAAAATTCATGAGTTTCCTTGAGAAGGCCCTTAAGGAATGATCCTTAGATAGAAATCATTTCAGACCCCTTACACGGCAGATGGGGGAGATATAGTTTTAACGGCTTCATTGAGATACAATTTACATATCATAAAATTCACCCATTTTGCAAATACCCGAGAGGTGGAAGCGACTCACATGTCCATCAATGGATGGATGGAAAAACAAAATGCGGTACATACGTACAATGGAATATTTATTCAGTCTTGAAAAGGAAGGAAATTCTGACACGTGCTATAACATGGATGAAGACATTACGTTAAACGAAATAAACCATTCACGAAAGGACAATTACTGTATGATTCTGCTTATATAAGGTAACAAGAGGAGCCAAATTAATAGAGACAAAAAATAGAGTGGCTGGAGGGAGGAGGAAGTGGGGAGTTGTTCAGTGGGGATGGAGCATCAGTTTTGCAAGATGAAGAGTTCTGTGCATGGATGGTGGTGATGGCAGTACCACAGAGTAAATGTATAGAGTGCCACTTAATTGTGTACCTAAAAAAGGTTAAGATGGTCAATATTATGTGTCTTTTACCATAATTATAAAATAAAAAAATAGATTCGCCAATTTAAAGTGTACAATTTAATGGTTTGCAGTATACACACAGAGTTGTGCAACCACTGCAATAATCTAATTTTAAAACATTTTCATCACCTGCCCCTCCTCCCCCCAAAACCTTCCACATACCCATGAGCAATCACTTGGGGAAGATATTTTTAACACGCCATAGGTGTCATTCAACACTCATAGACTCTTAGAAGGCACCTGAGAGATTTAGTCCTACCACCTCAGATGAAAAAGTTGAGGGTTAGATAGGCAAAGTGTCTTGGCAAAGGTCACATGACAATTCCTGACAGAGCCAGGTCCTTTGGTTTTCTGGGAAGTTCTTTGTCCTGCTACAAAAATGCTGTCCCTTCCTTTCTTCAAATTGACGCTTACGGTAGATAAATAGTATCAGGAGATACTACTGTTGCCTGCTGAGGACAACTGGGCTCTTTCCTCAGCCTCCCTTTGCATCTGCCCAAGTTAGGAAGCAGAGAGTAAAAACAGTATAGTGGAAAAATTCGAAACTGTGTTCGGGAATGCTCCCTGATACTTTAATTCTGCTAGGGAGGAGCTATAACAGGTTTTATAATGAGAATCATGTCTCAGCCTCTCTTAGAAGAATGACTGGAAACACAGCTAGGTGCAGTGATTTTACTTTTGAAGGATGTGCCTTTTGTAGTGGTGGCAGGGGTAACCGGCAGCAAATAGCAACGTCCTGTGTCAGCACTGCCAAGGTCTTGGGCTGGCCGTGGTGGTCACGACGCCCCTTGCTGTCTGGCTGTTGGGAGAGCTGAGGGGAAGTGGGAGCTGGAGTTTCTCTAAGTCCTGTTCTCTTCTGCTTCCAGTAGCATGTAGGCCCAGCACAGGCTTGGCCAGGGCAGTCACTGGATAAAAGGCGGGGTTAGGGGAGTGATAGATAACTAACTTTGCCAGTGAAAGCCTTCCAAATGTGTTCCAATGTTCCTTCTGGACTCATTGGTCAATTGAAGCATTTTCAACTGCCCTTATTTCCAGGAGGGCTGGTGGGGAGGGCTCTATGGATGTTAACGATGGAGAATGAGCAACCAAGTACCAGAGGCCATGGAAAATCATGTTGTGGTAGATTTGGAAATTTCTAGACCAAGTCCTGAGCCTAATTGTGAGATATGGGCCTTTCTTTCTCTCTCTCTTTTTTTTTTCTTCTGTCCTCTTGTTTCTCTGTGAATTTGAGCTATCCTCCTCCTTCCTGGTTATCACCCTAACTCACTACAGGCTGATGGAGATCCCTAGGAGTGCTTGGAATGTCTTCATCCAGGCTACTCAAGAGGCGAATACTCTAAACGTCCTGTGAGCTTCCATCCTAATGAGACAAACCTGCCTGGAGAGACTGCTGTGGGGAATGACATAGGTTTCTCGACAATGAGTTCCCTGAGGACAGTGTCTGGATTATTCCTTTTTAAGCTCCTGGTGCCTAGCAGAGCGCCTGGATCATGTGTTTGCTCAATGAATGAGTAGTAACATTTCCTATCAGGTGATGCATTATTATTTACAAAGTGATTTGTTTCCCATGCATTAACTCATCCTTGCAACTGCTCCTACCTTACCCCTGGAAGGTAGGCAAGACTGTTTTACAGATGAGGTCACAAAGCTGTAGGTTGGTTTTCAGACTCTAAATCCGTTGGCATTCTCATACAGGTGTCTAATTTAGACTGCCCTTGCTAAAATATTCTGCCAAAGCCCTGAGAGATCTGAATATGGATTCAGATAGACATTGGTGGTTTCTGCATTTCGTTCCTAAATTTGGAATAGACGTATTCTTCATCTAAGTCTAGTCTCACCCATAGTATGATTTTGTGCTATTTGCTAATCACTGTGGGTGTGTAGGTTTTTTATTACATTTTGAATTAAATAGAATTTAGGGACTAGCCTGGTAAACTGGTGAATCCCCATGTAGTTTGTAGCAGCTATTTCCTGATATAGATTTGGCATGATATACTATTGTACCTAATACAGTTTTTGGTAATTTCAATTAACTAGATTGTAGCTTTATGGCCCTAGGTCTTCAAGAAACACATGTTCAAACATTCTGCCTGCTTAATGAGATCCTTGTTCCTGTTGAACTTCTACAACCTTATTGGAAATCAATGATTGCTTCTGATCTTCCAAATGTAATGCTGAAAAGACCTATTTGAAATCACTGTATAAAATGCTTTGAGATTGCAGGATGTGGAGAGCGTGCTGTCATTAAAATGAATGATTCTGCTTGGAGGTAAACCGTATTTTCAGTCTGTATGTGTATTGTGCATGAGGGAATTTCTCTGTCCAGAATTATTTTCTCCAAATAATTCGCACGCTCACAGCACTCCGGGTAGCGGGTATCACCTAACTCCTGGGCTGCAGCTTGGCTAAAGCGAGCAGTTCTTTCCTAGCAACTGTTGCTAAGAGGGGCGTGGCTAGGGAGTCCAGCGAGGACGCGTTAGGTCGCCCCCCCCCCACGGCGTAGACTACACTTCCCATGATGCTCGAGGGTGGTCTCCGTAGTGACGCACCGGTGTCCGCGGAGGGGAGAGGGAAGGCGGGGGCGGTGGCGGCGGCTGCGAGGAGGGGTAGTGTTCTCTCCGTGTCCCCGACTTGCGCTCAGGAAGCAGCCGCCGCCGCCGCCATGTTGGCTTGAGAGGCGATGACAGGAGGCGGCTGCGGCGTTTGGGACTGAAAAGTGGAGGAGGAGGAGAGACAAAGCTCCGAGAGGAAACCATTCCCGGGCTGAGGAGAGGGAGGACCCGGCCTCTTCCGGGGACCAGCCGAAGTCGGCGTCGAAGGGGAGGGGAAGGTGGCGACGCGGGGAGGCGGAGGCAGGAGAGGAGCGCCGAGAAGCCGGAGACGATGCGCCCCGAGACCCGCCGCTGCCCGGAGGCGCCCGCGGCCTGAGCCCCGAGGGGCCGTGGGGTCTCCCGCCCGACCTGAGCGCCCCGCGCCCCCCGCGCCCCCCGCTCGCCGCCCCGGGCTTTCGCTTCGGCTCCCAACTAGTTAAATGCCCTTGAGCGCGGGTTTCCGCGGCCCGGCCGCCAGCCCCGGCAGCGCGAGTTGAGCTGTTTGCCCCGCGCCGTCCGCCGGCGCCGGCCCCAGCGCGGCCGCCACTCACTGCTCACGCGTCCATGTGTAGCCACATAGTTATCTATGTACATCCACGCCGGGGCATTTTCTTCCTGCTTAATGAGGACTTGACTCGGGAGCAAGTGTGAATCACTGCCGGGCTGGGAAAGGAGGAAGGCGATTTAACCCCCTCCCACCCCGCTCCATGTCCGTGTGTCACTCGGCTCGGTCTACCTGGCGCGGCCGGTCCTGGGGCTGCTGCTGCCGCTGACGACGACGGGGGCTGCTGCTGCTGCCATCCCGGGAGTGCTCTCCGGCGCCGGCCACACAGCTCCTGGGGTTGTTCTCTTCGCTCAGAACCTCGGCCAGCCCGGCACTTTGGCTCCGAAATAACTTATTTTTTGGAAAGCACATCACGAACCAGTCAAGATCGTTAAGGCTGATTGCTGTACCTTGAAAACTTTTGCTCTTTTTTGTTTGTTGTATTTTTTTTTTCCCCGGTAAACATCTGGGTGTATATCAAACGGCAAGATGTCCAGTAATGTTCCGGCAGATATGGTAAGTGAAGGATGAGTTATGACATTCTTTGATTTAATTGTGGTTTCCAATCTTATTTAATCAGGATGCAGGCGTGGGGTGACGGTTTGCAGGGGACTGTTCAAAAGCCATGGTGCTGGGAGATTTGGAGAAGTTGCAGGTTCTCGTTCCCCCTCTTAGGAAGTACCTCTTTTAATATGGCTTTTCTCATTCGGTTGTGTTTTCTAAATCATTAAAGACAGTGGAGAAGTAGGGAAAATGTGGCAGTGTAGCTCGAAGTGGAGAAAATATCTCCCTCTTTGCCAGAAACCTTTGAACATTTGTATCTTAAAGCTTCTGAAAACGTCAGTGACAAGTAGGCAGAGCTGAGGACGGGTGTCCCTACTACATACAGAGGTAGACAGGGAAACCGGAATCTTGTTCTTTGATACGAAATCGTTAATGCAGTAGATACAGACTTGGTGTTTTCAAGAGAAGGGACGTGTATGTCTTCAAGAAAAAGTCTACTAGAATTTGCCGTGAGCTTTTCGAAATGTCTGGGTGAACAACTATGGCAACAGAAATATTAAGATGTTTTGGAATTTTCACAAATCTAGACCTACCGTATATTGGTACTACTTGTGAATTTACAGGACTTTTTGTACCAGATATTTAGTACTACATCATTGGACTTTTAAAAGCTAATAAAACACAGTATTGAGCCTTGATCTTTGAATGTTGAGATCTTGAAACAAAAAGTACTCTTGTTTATTGATGCTTTTCTTTCTGTTTTTAAAGGTTAATGTTTGTTAATGTGAGTCTGTTGACTAACAGGAATCCTGTAGGCTTACAGTGCCGGGAGGTGGTGGGTTTGTGTGAGTTGAAATTACACTTTGCAGTCCTAGGGACAAACATAATGCAATTAACAGGAAGATTAAAGATCTTGTTTATGAAAGAATTGAAGTTAGCATAACATTAGGATTTGAGTGTTCGTGTATTCCAGTGAAGAAACAAAATTGAACTTTGCTGATTAAATTTTAAAAATGTCAGATGTTTCTGTAGGAGCGAACCTCACAGACTTAAAAGACAAACCTAAATAGCTGTAAATGGCATATTTTGACCTTGGTTTAAAGCCATTTTGCTTATGTTTGATTTGCCATTTGATGTACTGTTTTAATGTATAGGAACCACAATGTTCAGTCTGTTGTGTGGCCACACAGCAACTTAAACTCTCCTTCCTGGGTCTTAAAACTCTTGCATTTTCCCTTTAGTTTTCCTTTCTCTCCTGGTGTGCACAGGGGATAATAGTCTCCTACCCATTTAAGGATAAGCTGGACATGGTTTCCTCTACCCTACTCTTGAAGTTGCCTGGAAAGGTGTCTGGACTGAGTTGGAAAATGCTGTTTCCCGTCTGATGAGTATTTTTTTGGGCTCATCGCTTCCAGCAAAGATTTGTTCTCCACAGTCTCCATTTTTTATCGTCATGCACGGTGCAAGATATGTTCACTCTATTCTGTCATAGAAATTGTAATGAAATAGATTTGTGTCCTTAAAACAGTGCCACTACTTTCTTTAGGCCCAGTGTTGAAGTAAAGCTGGAATGTGCGTAGCATCAGTTACAAATTGAAATGATTTGGGGAATACCATTTCCAAGTCAAAAGAAGGTTTTGGAAGCTAATGTTCGGATTGGGGAAACGGGAAGTAGTGGCAAGGTTTTATTAAGAGGTGCAATTATAAAATACAACTATTTCTGTTTTAGACTGTATTTTAAGGCCTTGATTCGGTGGTGCTTTGAGATCCCTTGATTAAAGGTGATATGCAAGGGCAAAGCAGTATTATGTAATAAACATATAATGCCCTGATGATGCTGTTTCAGAGTATGTCTAATCTACAGCTCAGATTAGATTGTTCTGAGTATTTTTTATGTTTCATTTTCTAACTGCTCAACTTCTTGGAAGTCTTGAGGTTTTTTTTCCAATGTCACAACCTCTTAAACCTTCATTTGCTATTACTTATATTGCATTTTTGCTTAAAAAGTGCCTTTATTTGGTAAGTGCCTACAATTCTCAACTTTTTGAAATATAACATGATAAATACGGTTAGAAGTTGTTGATTAAATGCTTTGTATTTGTTAAACTCTTCATATTAATAATTGACAGTTTGCATTTACACTCATGACTTAAAGTGAGAACAGTTTCACCACTTTGAATCTTGAACAACCTTAGCTTCCCTACCCCCCATCTCCTTCCACAAGTTGACGTTTCTTTTGCAACAAAACTCCTAATTGATTAGGATATGTACTCTCCTAAGTATGAATACATACATTTTTGCAAGGTGTAGTAAAATGTTTAAGTTTCTTAGTGGTGTCAGCTAGTCTGTGCTATGTAGAAACAAATGTTACCCTCTTTTACATGTAAATGGTGCTTGGCCTTGTATAGGAAAATCATAGTTGGGAGATAAGGTGGGGCAGTGAAATTATAAACTCTGTCATTTTTTCATTAGAGATAATTCATTGTTGAGCTACAGTAATTGCTAGATCAGTTGATGTTTTTGGTAAAGTCTTCATATAGCAATGATTGTGACTGACTTTAAAACCGATTTTTTGGCATCTTTTTTTGTTTTGTAAATATAACTCACATTTCAAATTTATTTCTAAACATTTAGTAAATTTTTGTGTTTACCATAAGGAATCTCTTTTTATAATCTGAATTTAGTAAGTTGATCTTTTTGGAGGGGGAGTGGCACCCCTAGTGAATGGATTTGCTGTACTCTAAAAAAATTTACAGTTGGTACTTTAGCAATTAACATTCTGTAAATATGTCCTTTATATAAGTGTATTTACATAAAATATTCGTTTTCTTTTGCTAAAAGGGATTGCGTTTGAACTAAGAGATATACTAACATTCCAGTGTAATAACTTACTTGTGGGAAAAAAACCCTAAAAATATCTGAACAGAATATCATTGTAATACATTGTATTGAAATGATTCATTTCCTTTTTTTTTTTTTCCCCAGCCCAAATCATAATTCATGATGGGGCAGTATTCATTGTTAATAATTGTAGGATGAATTATGTTAATGACTGTAGGTTTTCTGAAAGAAAATGTTTACTCTTTCTGTTAATCGTAAGGCCTAAGGCTGGATAGATAAGGTGGTGGTTTTTTCTGGACTGGGAAAATTAATCAAGAAATAAATTATTTATATGAGTATTATAGAAAACATTTGAGCTACTGTTTAGAGCTTTGGACTAAAATTATATTTCATGATATCTATAAAATTGAAAGCCCTACCTAGGAAAGAAATTGACAGTGTGAGAAAAATAGCAAAGCGATTTTGGTATTTGAAACATTTTATCTTTTTAAGCTATCAATATAGAAATTGTAATAGATATAATAATTTTTAGTCTGGGGTTAAATAAGATATGAATAATTTGAGTTTTTTCAGTGCTTAATGATTATTTTTATTGCAATGTTAGATCTCTTTTATTTGTGGAGAAATATGGGAGCCCTCTGGTGGACAGGAAATTACTAAAACGAATTTCCTTTCAAAGTGAAGTTTTATCACTTTTCCAAGTTAAAGTAAAATGACAGATGTAGTGTATACCAGGGGAAGATGTCATGCTAGAAAAAGGTACAGACAAAAGAAAATTTTTAACTTTGAAGAAAGAGTATATTAAGATCTAGTGCCCCAAATGCTCTCTTTACTTACAGCTTCTTTTAATTTTTCTTTATTTTGCTGGAGCTCTTATTTCAAGTATAAGTGGGGAAGTTTTATGAAGCTAAAGCGTAGATAAGTACGTTTACATATGTAAGTATGTAACAACGAACGGTTTAATAAATAATGTATCTCAAATGGCATGTTCTTCTAAATTGTTTTTATTTGAATATGTCTGACATTTGTTCTGAATTAGACATTTTTCATTAAGAAAGCAAAAGACGGGGGCGCCTGGGTGGCTCAGTCGTTCAGCATCTGCCTTCGGCTCAGGTCATGATTCCAGGGTCTTGGGATCGAACCCCACATCAGGCTCCCTGCTCAGAGGGAAGCCTGCTTCTTCCTCTCCCCCTGCTGCTCCCCTTGTTTGTGCTCTCTCTCTACGTCAAATAAATAAATAAAATCTTAAAAAAAATTTAAAATTAAAACAAAACAAACAAACAAAAAACAAAAGACAATTTACCTCAGCTTTGAATGCCTTTTCCTATCTGGCTCTAAATCCTACTCCAACTCATGTCCCTCTCCTGTGAAAACCGCTTTTAGTTCATTTCTAGCCCTCAGGTGTGAACCATTTTCTGTCAGTGTGTTTGAGATTCTTCTTATACAGTGTCAAATTTATATGGATATGTGTCTTATATTACATCTCCCATGATTTTTAAAACACATTTAAAAGCCAGTGAGTGATTTTCTTGACTCATAGAGCACTATTACTCATAGAAAAGTAAATGTTGTTCCATACTACTACTACTGATTATGGTGTTAAATATGAAGTATATGATGTCTGCTTCTGTTACTACTTTGAATATCAAAAATGTATTTTTAATATTGAGGCTAGAAATTCTTTTAAATTGGTGATTGGTTAATGATGGCTCTAATTTTCTTAATATGGAACAGTAAATATGTTGTAGGAAACTGAAGTATATGCTTCTTAAATATATTCTTTAAGAATTCCTCTCATTCTGGGGGAAAAACCTGAAAGTGACTGTAGAATTCATGGTAACTGGAATCCCTGAGGAATATCATTCTGAAACAGTAAATTTTCTGAATACATGAAGGTTATTTTGGAAATACCCCAATCTAACAAGTTAGACTACTGTCCTATTTACTTCAGTGTGATATACTGCACATAATTTAACTTCTTTTTGATGACCTAGAGCCATAATTTGAATAATATTGATTCAGTTCAACGTATGTTCTTCATTGAGTACTTCTCTGTGTAACATGTCATTATTCTATAAGCTACAACTTCAAACCCTGAGCATCTAATATAGATTGTGAAGCTTTATGCCCCTTCACTAGGTCAGTAATTTACAAAGTGACATGAGGCAAGT